TGAGTGGCTGTCGCACCCTATCGTCGCTGCAGTCGGTGGCCGTCCTGTCTATCGGTCGCTGCCCTGGCTGCCGTGAATGGTCGGAGCACTGTGGCTCTGTGGCTGTCGTGCTTAGTCGTTGCTGTTTTGGTTGGTCGTGGCTGTCGTAGCCTGCCGTGGCTGGCGTGTGCGTCGTGGCTGGTCGTGGTTGTCGTCGCTGTCGTTCCTGACTGTGGTAGCTGGTGGCCGTTGCCGTCTTAGTGATCCGGCAGCCCGTTGTGGTCTTGGTCGCGGTTGACTTCGTGGCTGCCGTGTAGTCGTGTTTCTCTTGATTGGTTGTTGCTGTGTTGGCGTCGCAGCTGGTCGTGGCTGTCGTCAGCCGCTGTCGTGGTGATCACTGTGGTTTGTCGTGGTCGGTTGTGACTGTCGTTGTTGTCTCGGCTGTCGTGGCTGGTCGTTGTTGTCGTGGCTGTTTTGGCCGTTGCTAGATTCTATCTTGCTGCGGTGGTCGTTATTTGTCGTGGCTGCCGTAGGTAGCGATCGTTAAGGTTTTGGCTGTCGTGCCTGTCGTTCTTGGTCGTGTCTGTTTTGGCTGCTCGTGGTTGTCATGGCTGGTTGTGAATGGCGTGGCTGGCCGTGGTTGTTGTTGCTGGCGCGGCTAGTAGCTGGCCCCGCGGTGCTTGTCGAGGTAGCCGTCGTGGTGTGCTTGCTTGTTGGAGTCGTTGGCCTTGCTGCCATGGTTGTCGTGATTGTCGTGGTGGTTCGTCGCTGGTTGTCCTGGCCGCCTGGCCGTCGTTGCCGTGGTTGCGCGTGGCTGGTTGTGGCTGCCGTCTCTGCCTTGGCTGTCGTTGCTGGTTGCCCTTGTTGTGGTTGCGGCCTTTCCTGTCGTGGGTGAACGTGGTTTAGCTTAGTGGGGGGCACGTGGTGGTGCAGAATCTGGTGCCTTGGTGCCTCCTGCTGTAGTCATGGAGACGCTGGGTATGATCGGCAGTGATACGAGCCAACCAGGATTGTGCTGGTAATGATCGCGGAGCCGACGCCCACCATGTGCTTGTGAATCGTGCCGAGTGCCCTCAGAGTGCCCTGTCACAGTGCTTTCAGCATTTGTGTGGCGCAGTGTTAGCGTAAGATGTGGATTCGTCGATCACGTACCCGCCGCTTTCTTGATTTACTGGGGCTCCACGTGATTGATCATCGTGTTGGCCATAATGCCTGGAAGGATTGGCGCTGATACTGCCTACAGCGATTGTACTGCTAATGCTAGGCCAGCCTACTAGGGTTCTACTGAATGCGATTTGGGCTGCCCACCTGGATTGAATCGATTATTGTACTGACCACCATGTTTGCACTAATGATTACACTGGTGACTGTACGTGCTGCTGATGTTGATCGTAGTTCTGGTGTTTTTTTCGAGAGTGCGGCATGAGCGCATTTGCCGTCGCAAGGTCGCCATTTCCAACCTCCTTGGGAATGATCATGCGGCTTATTCACGGTCGGTAAATATGTCGTGGGCGGCACGCGAGAGGCCGCCGCGCGTAGGTGGCGCCCGAAACCGTGGCGTCCCGTGTGCCCGAGAAGCATGGGGCAGGCGGCTTGAGCCAGAATGGCCATGGAGACCTCCCCCTCCTCCTTCTTCTCCCGGCGTGATCCTCTCCTCCTCCTGCCCCTCCGTTCTCCAGAGGAACGCCAACTACGCACCACCACCAGCCCTGGCCAGGCACTTCCTGGGCCCTGGCTCGGTGTACAGACGGTGTCTTGTTTCGAGCTCTCCGTCCTCCTTGGATCGCTTGAGGGCGGCAGCGGCCCGTGGACGAGAGGCCCCCGCCCCTGCCACCGCGAAGCCGCCCCCCCGCGCGGCATGGCTGCGGGTCGCGCCGCCCGGGCATGGAGCTCGCGGCGCGGCCTGCGGCGCCGGCGGCGTGTGAGCACCGGGGCAGCCCGGCCCCTCGAGGTGCGACAAGGATCGCTGCGACTGCTAATGTCGGACCGAACGAAATGGGGGGACAGGGAAAGGTGGGGGTACGAAGTCTGGTGCATGCAGCTGGTTTCGGCCCCGCCGCTGGGCCCATTCCTCGACACATGGGCGCCTCCCGGCGCCGGGAGGCGCCGTGAAAATCAGCTACGTGAGCCGATTCTCAAACCCCCCCCTTTGCTATCCCCCCTTTCGCCCGGCCCGATCTTGTTTGAGGTTTCTGCATCTCCAGATTTACATGGGTCCACGGTCCTCATCTTGCCTTCGTCTTGGCGACGAAAAGAAGCCCCGATGGAAACGGGTTTTGTGGGCAGCCCCGCCCTTCGAGACCCGTCCAGGATCGCGACGATTGCCGATTTCTCTGCCTCTCCAGATCCAAGTGGCTTACACCATTCAGCCGACCCCCCAGAAGTAACGAGTGCTTGCGACGATCTTGGAAATTATCTCGTGGGTCAGCTTCTTGGATGCATCTGAGGAGCTCGTGGGATACCTCTCATGGGCCTCTTGGAGAGCTCTTGGGAACATCTGGGGGGCCTTTCGGGCCTTCTTTCGGGCCTCCTGGGGGCTTCTTGGGGACCCCTTGGGCAAGCGGGCGTCGGCGGATTTGGATTGGTCCTCGGTTCCCATCTTGCTTCCGTCTTGACGACGAAGAGAGGCCCTGAGGGCTGAGGGCCCTTCCCTGGGGTGACATCTGGTGCGCAGCTTTCAGGTGGCGCGGGTGGGGCGGAGGCAAACCCAAGCGCGCAGGCCGATTCCGAAGCATTGTAGCACCGTAGCATCGCATGCAACGGTTGGTAAGCCGCGCACCGAAGGACACTCTTGCTTTCACTCTCGCGTGTAGCTGGTC